CCTGCGTGCCCCGTCCTCTCGCTCGTCCACGTCCGCCGCCGCGGTGGGGCAGACCCTGACCCGCGCCTCCGCCTCGCGCTGCCCCGCCCCTCACCACGACAGCCAGCCCCGAGGATAGGCCCCTTAACTCCTATAGAGTAGGAGGAAGCGGGCACTTTTGAACAACTCGTGGCAAATTTTCGTTCCAAGTGAAAATGACCTTTCGGGTTGGCTGGTACGTAGGCAATAGCAAACTGCCACAGAGGTCCAAGACCAACACTCGTAAGAAAATTAATGGGTTGAGAATTAATTAAAAAGAAACCTTGCTTTTTTATAAGCTATTTCCCCACAGTTTGAGGATATACATGTAAATGTCAATGTAACTATCAGTGTGTTGTGTATTAATATTTTAGCATCACTTGTTTATGTATCCTAATATTAATCTTCAGTGCTTGAATGAAATTAAAATTAAACAAATAAGTTTGTTACATTATGTCATCTCTACCCTAAATCATTTACAAGATGAAATATCAATACAGGTGAAAACTAGCATTTTTGGCCCAAAAAAGTAAGAAACTATTTGCTGTCATGTAATAAAAAAACTATTTGCACAGGAAAAAAACTGCGGATATAAGCCATTATCCCTCGTCATGCCCTTCGTGAAGGAATTGATTTACTATCGCGAGAACATGCCAGAACGTTAATTTGAATAGCTATAAAAGTGGAAAACTCATATATTACTCCCGTAGCTATTGTCTCTCCCCTAGTTTTTGTCTTTGTGCTGGCATTTAGGGGAAGGTCACACGGGTAGTGATAACGATTTGGAACACTGAGTACTGCTCAGTACAGTTTTGGTACAGATGCACGGCATTCAAACCGCGTTCTCAGGGATAGAAAGCCAGTAGTCCTAACCACTTCACCACGGTCGCTCCGAACCCGCTTTCCAGTTACTCCCTCGTCCAGCGACCATTCCCGTCGCCCTCGCCTTTACCACGGTTCCGCCTCCTGTTATTCTCTCGCATTGCTATCGCCGCTCGACCTCTCCGCTTCCGTCGTCCCACCCGCCGTCCGCCTTCCGGCAGCAGCGGCGACGGCGGGGGCGTGGCGCATGGGCGATCGATGCTGCGCGGGGGCGGCTGGCACTGCAGTTGCGCGGTCGCGCGCCTCACGGCACCCCACGCGCCGGATCCCTTTCGCGCGCCGCCGCCGCCGCCGCCCTCGCAGACGTTTATCCGCCGAGACCTCGCCGCGAGCGCCTGCTAGGAGCAGCGGCGGCGGCGGTGGCGGCGGCCCGCCTCGGCGCGCGTCTGACGCAGTGACGCGCGTGCTCCGTGGCGAAGCGGCGGGTGCGCTATCGTTCCAAGTCTTTGAGTACGGATGTTGAAAAACCCGCCCCTTTCCTGTGTCTTTGCAGTGGAGACAGCCTCTTGCTCTCTTTACATCGTTTCTCCACTGTTATTTACATGTCAGTCGTCCGTCAAATTGTCCATGATTCCATTTATGACGGAAGGCAGAGGAACTGGGATGGAGGGCATGAAGTGACCCGATCCCCGACCTGCCACTCCCCGTTCGACCTTCCTCTCTCGGTGAAAGCGAAGTCACCCAGGCGGGGCTTTCTCGGAAGATTAATGCCTTCTGATCGGAGGAAAGCGGAAAAGATCTTGAAGATTTGCTTACATGCACTTTTTACACTGATGCCCTTTAAATTTACAAGATCAACTGTGTACCTGAAAGCAGTGGCCTTCGGAACGATACATTTCACTTCATTTGTACACAATTTTACGTATAAATTGATAATTTTGAATCCAGTTTAATGTTATTTTAGTTGCTTAATTTTTGATATTCATTTTAATCATTTTTATTGTAATTAAAATATATTTATGTATGAGTTGTAGTTAAAATTGGCTGATTGTGTCATCTTTTGTATCCTGGACCGGCTCGCCCCGTCTGCTTCCCATGAAAGTTGACGATGTCAGTCTCGACCGTCAGTCTTGGGGGTTTGGATTCGGAATGGAAGGGCAGCTATACGTTTTACGTTGTGGAAGAAAAGAAAAATTTGCTCGATGATCTGTTTCCCTTTCTAAACGCCCCTTCTTTCTCTCCTTTTATATTCACACCTTCATAAGAATATATATTCCTCTGTATATTTCTTTCTAAGCTTCCAAGCACTGCTAGTGTGTCTTAGGTTTTTTTCAGTGTTAATTTAATTGTTCAACGAGCCTGTCCCATGCCCTTTTTTGGTACGTGCTACATCATTTGTCATAAGAGCTGAGAGTTTACAGTATCCTACTTCAGCGTAAAGTAACTTTGAAGGAGGCGATAAAAATCTTTCATATCTTTTCACTTCAGTAAATTATTGATTCTTTCCCAGTTGACTCTGCTGTGTCCCGGGGTTTTGTGGATCTGTTATTCATAGGTTTCAGTGGTAAAATTGTCATGCGACACTTCTCCACTACTCTGAGAGCAGGTCCATCGCTGAATCTCATCCTTCAGTATTTGAAACAATCCACTTCAAAATCCGTGTGTTCATTTCCTTCGAAATTTTCTTTTGTTTGCTTTTCATGACATCCATAGCGGAACAAGTCAGTGTTGTATAAGAACAATTCTGAAAAGACAAAATATCTTTGTGAATGCACAATTAGGCGAGGGAGTAATCTACAGGCCAGGTACAACAGGACGCAAGTGGAAGGTTCTTTCGGAAGGGGCGGGACTGAAAACATCTATCAGAATAAGGAAAATAATAAAATGAGGAAAGGATCCCGGGATTGAACTGGCATACACCGCTTTACCTCATAGCTTTGACGCTGTCACCATTACTCATAGTGCCTGTTCGTACAACACTGGGTTGTTGGCACCTCTAGACTTTTTCAAAATCTATTTTGACGAATCGCACCCGTTGTGGACAAATCATCAACATGAAGTCGTAGGCTTCCGCGACCAGAGTCATGTGGGTGATCTGGGCTGTCCGGGTGACGCCGCGTCGAAGGCTGAGTTGCCGACGTTTCGACCATCCTGTCGTGGTCTTCCTCAGGGCTGGTATGATCATCATACCACAAATCACCCACAAATCATCAACATTTTAAACTTCTTCTTTGTAGGTTTTTCTGTCGTGCGATTGTGGTTTACTCTCGCGTACTCATTTTATTTCTTCGACAGATAGGCTGATGTTTAGTATGAAAAGCACGTTATGTGGACCCTTGATGCCGAAAAAACGCGCCCTGAAAACAGTGGAGTCACCGGAAAGATATAATTCATTTTACCACTCATCCAATGTCTCTCATTGTTTCTCGCAAACGCAAGTTTTTTCTCATTTATATACAGTTGTACGTGTAAAATGATAATTTTGAATCCAGTTGAGTGTTGTTTTAGTTTTTAAATAGTCATACGGGCTAGGGCCCGAGAATCATACGAGCTTCCTAACCTAACCTAATATTGGGTCTCCTAAAACCGTAGTGTAGGAGAGAATTTTTGTTAAGGTGAATTAATTAAGTTACAAGAAAAAAATTCCCCTGCTCTCATTACGTTGAAAATTC